TATGTTGTGTTTCTTAAGCTATTTAAAGAGTTTTCTATAGACTATTCTTTATCTCGAATTTTGGTAAAATTGATCTACAGAGAGAGTTTTTTTGATATTAAACAGATTTGTTTTACAGGTTGTATCAAGTAAGACTATATTATGAAAATGACTTCAAATATCAATTTGCTTAGGATGTAACTATATAAGTTCTATAAGATAATTATCGCTCTTTTCAAATTTTACATCGATATACTAACTAGGTATATCTTATTTTCTACGTATTAATTCTTTGTAAATTGCTTCTGCATCACTTAATTTTTCGTTTTCTGCTTTGATAGTTTGGACTATATTATAAACATAATATATATATATATACTAATCTGAATATTTATATGTTAGCATATTAATAATTGCTCCAGTATATATATTACTAGTAGCAAGAAATTTAATATCTCCTCACATTTTCAGTGTAAGACAATAGTACTAAGATATAACTATTTGTATATTTTTATTTATTGAATGTAAGTATTTACTAATTATACTTGAGATATATATTTAGTTATCATTTTTCTACCTTTAAAAATAAATATAAAATTCGTATTTAGTATTTTTGTGTGTTTTATTTTTTTCTTCTAATATATGTACTTTTTTTTTTGTTTCATAGCAATGTCTTTTTGAGTAATAATAGAAATAGTATCTTAGAATTCTATCATTTTTGTCTAACTTGCTTTTTACTAATGAAAAAACAAATCCTTGTTCATATTCATATTTAGTAAGATAACTTTTATTAATTAATACTTGTACAATAAAAAAAAAGCATTGCATTCTATTATACCTTTTAATGTTCTTCTAGTCTGTAAAACTCTATTCTTTTGTTAAAGGATATAATTCTTCTGAATTGCTAAATTTGTCAGTTTCAGTTTTAGCTCTAGTTAAATTATTAATTTCTTCTGTAGTTTGTAGTTGTCCATTAAAATTTAGAATTTTATCAAATATATTTATTTCAATATTACTTGTATAGTATAGGTATTAAACATATTTATTTCAATATTACTTGTATAGTATAGGTCCGTATTATCAAATTCGACCTCACTTGCCATTTTGAGTAAGCTATACTAAGTAGATTCTACAAGTTATTGTTATAAAGATTAGATACGTAAGTACAATGTTATATTATCATATATGAAATAAAGTCAAATTTAGTATGTATTATACAGAAAACTTTTAATATATAATGAATATTAATGAAAGTAAAGTTAGTTAAAAGTATGTTATATTATGCATATGATCTATATCACTAGTAGTTACATATATTGTATTATATATAAATAGATGCAAAACTACTATAAGTACGTTTTATAATAATTAATTTTTATTTGTATTTTATAAAAATTATATTATTAGCAATCTATCTTTTAATTCTCTTCTTGTTTTCATATTTTGTATAATTTGATTAATTAACTCTATCTCCTAGCTTCTTTCTATTTTGATACGTTCTAAGTTCTTAAACTTTTTGAATTCCTCTACCTTGCTTTTTTTAGTATCTTTTTCTATTTTTTCTAAGTACTCTTTGTTGAATATTATCTGTAGTGTATTATCTTTTTCCATATGAAACTTGAGATATTGGACAACTCTCTCTGTAGATCATTTGGTCACAAAATTGAGCTAAAGGTTACTACATAGATAAACTATCAAACTCACTAA